TTGTTGAACGTTGTAGGGTGACGTAGAATGATTCTATATATGCAAACATCTATGTCATATTGTCTCTGTATAATTACCGGGTCACTTGAGACCCCGTCTAATTAGTCATACGCTTCACGTCACAATGGGGTAAATGGATTGTCATTGGAAAATATTAGCTTATTCCGTATGAAGTAAAGGCTTATCCGTAAGTGAGACCAAAAGAAAAAAACAAACCATGACAGTAGGTCATGAAAATGACAGTGAAGTGTTCAATCAAGTTGAAAGTGAAGTGTTGAATCGATATTTTAATAAATAAATGCAAGGTTAAACGTAATTTTAAGTGATTCAATTTAATTGAGTTTTTTCTGTCTTTATTATTCAATTGTGTTTGCATCAGATTTAAATATTATTGTGACTTTCGTGTTCATAATTAATTTGATAGTGTATTTAAAGTCAGTATTGATTAGCAGATATCAATAAAGTTACAGATATCACTCATGCGTATCGTTATACATGATAATAATATTACATACCTATCTATAAATGGCCGAAACACCATCGATTTTGTTTTGTATAAAATGCACACGTAGTGATTCAACTAAGTTACGCTATATCAAGAAACACAATGTCGCGTGATTGTGCAGTGCCATTTACAAATGCTAGGAAGCAGGGGCGGATTAAGGGGGGACCCAGGGTGCCCGCCCCGTTTTGTGGGGAAAATTTGGTTGATTATTTAGGGACCACTGAAGCATGACTGGAGCGGGCCCCCTCTTATGGTAGTCAGTGCCCCCCCCCCCCCCCCCCCCCCCTTATGAAATTTCTGGATCCGCCACTGGGAAGGATGGCGTGTAGTTAACAAAAAATAAAGAACAGGTATCTTCAAATGACTAATTTTCGATTAATTTTAATGTTTATTTATCCCTGGTCTATATGATAGTATAAAAGAGGGGGTTGATGTAAAAATGTGTCGAATTCCTTCTCACGCAAACGTACATCACGGTACAATGAAGTTCTGATGACAAAACGGTCTACTTCTTATGTAACTTCCAAAAGGGAAAATAATAAGACTTAATGCGATTAATACAGGTAACTTTTTAAGGAAGAGGTATTTTATACACAAAGGCGTCTGTACAAGTTCAGTGGCTTGGTTTTGTCAGTCCCGTAAGGTGTTTTGAAAGAGGTTTACATGTATGTAAAAATATTTTAGCGTTGCAAGATTTATTTGTTTAAATAAAAGAGGATGTAGGGTATCATAAATAAGACAGCAACCAAATTAACGCCAAAGCTAAACAAGGTCAACACTCGTGTTTCTTAACTTGATGATGGATACATGTATATAAAATAATTTAAGCTCTGTATTTTCAAAAAAATAGATAATTGTGGATAATTTTACAAAGACTTTTAAAAATATGCAATCACTTAATTCCTTAAATAGCAAAATTAAATACACATGCTAACATCAGAGAACAAATTAATACAGATTCATGTACATGTTTGTTATATAATGACAACAAATGGTATATCGTTAAACCTTGATCGATGATCGCGGCATGTGAATAGTGCTGGCAAGTGGTCGAAACCATAGTTTTAGTAAATATGTTTTGCAACGGTCTAGAAAATTAGCCAGTCAGATATTTATAACATAAAAATAAAAAGATGCGGTACGATAACCAATGAGGAAACTATCCACCAGAGACAAAATGACATAGATGTTAGCATTTATACGTCATCCTATGACATTTAGCAATGAAAAAACTCTTACCACGTTGCAAGCTATAAAAGGGTCCGACATGACAAATGTAAAAAAATTCAATTATAAACGAAAAGCAAATATAATACAGATCTAGAGCAACAAACGACAACCACTGAAATTCAGACTCGTGATTTTGGTACAGGCACACAGTGAACTTGGCGGGGTTAACCATGTTTGCGGGAGCCCAACCCACCCCTATTCTGGGACAGTGGTGTTAAAACGCAACATACATCTATAAAAGCTCTGTTCCTTTGTTTTTTTTTTGTGTTTTTGCTGGGCATGTATTACCGATTTTGTGTCCTAGATGGATACCCCATATCCTTTCATTTCTATGATGTAAGAACTAACTGTAAAAACCAGTTGAAAAGGGGTTGACTCATCGGATTGATACAAAGCCAAAAAACCAACTAGCAAGAAGACCAATATAAAGACAGGAAATAACGATCAGATAGTCACACGTGTATTTACTTTGCTTCATAACATGCAAATTTGTCTACGTTTTTCAGAACTGACTTTAAGCCGAATTACTCCTTAAAAATTTTCCCACTGGAACTATGTAGCCTTATACACGACTAGAACCTCCTTAAGTCGGATGTCCGGTATAAAAGGATTCATTTGGGATATAAAACGTTTGTGAGTTAAATTTCACATTGACATAAAAAAAGTTTACCGAAATAAGTACAGGCAACAACGCAAGTGATTTTGAAATTAACCTCTTTCCAGTGGTTAAAATTCACCACGCACAAAAAAGAAAATTGTAACCCTTAAAATACTATATTGGCCTTTCCTGTATTCCACTTTATCCGGGTCATAACAATTTATATGCAGAGCAATATTCTGAATGGATGCAACTACAAAGCAAATACACAATTTTCACCATAATAAGCTATAAAACGGCAAGTTTTTTTTAGAAAAGCTAATACATGTAGATTACATACTTTTTGTAGAGCAACGGACATGTCGGATGAATTTATTTACAATTAGTCTATTTATGCATTTAAATAATTTCAAAAATTATATTAAAAAAACCTAATAATTTTCACCAAGGTATTCTCAAATGCACCTGACAACCATATTCCCCACTTTTTAACAGCTTTTTCCCTTTATTCCGCGATTGCTCGCCTCTGTGGCGGCTCCAATTCTAAAAGAATGCGATTTCAAAAGGTTAGGGTTAGGAATGTTACAAAAAATTACTGATTTTCCCAACATAACAGACAGTTGATATAGGGTAAGAGTCAAAATGAATAAATAAATATTTTCAACCTGAAACCAAGGGACGTTCAGATGAGTACTTCTTCAAGGTTAAGACTTGTAGTAGTGTTATTTGAGCAGTATAAATGACAATGTCATATAGTGATAGTTTAAACCGACCATGCGAGACCCTCATAGGTGGCCAAGGCCGTTTTACACCCCCGTAATAGTCTGTGTATTTATTTATAACGATGCATGAACGTTTAATGACTGACTTCTCAGATCTGATTTTCTTTTCTTTAATTTACTTTGTGTTGATGATCTGACAAGACCACATCCGACAAGTGCAGTGCTACGGTACTAGAATCAGATTTATGTTTTGTTGTAGACTGACTCGCACATAACACAACGAAGTATGCTTGAATAAATGAAGATTTAAATAATAAAGATTCATATGCGGTAAGGGTTTTGTTGAAGACCGCTCGGTGATCTATACAAGTCAAGTAGTTGCTAACTTCTTTGTCATTTGGTCTCTGGTGAGAGTTGTCTCATTTGCCATCATTCCACAACTTATTTTTATATCATAAGAAGATGTGCAAATCATTAGGAGAGAATCTGTGATCTGTCGTAGTAATGATAATGTTATCGGGGCCCTGTTGTCTTTTTGTGGGTTTCTTCTTTTTATGCCTTCGAGCATTTTATATGTAACAAAGTTCTTACTGATAGTATCTTCTGACTTGGTACAGGAATTAACGTCTGACCAAAATCATTACATCCGAAGATTTTGAAGTTTTTTTGGTTACCGTTTCTTTGTTATCAATATGAAACATCAAATATTTATTCCTAATATCAGACCCCCATAAGATGATAGATACCATTTAAATAAACAGTTCTAGAAATGTAAAAAATTGTTAATGAACTGCGCTTTATTCATGTTTTGGCCATAACCCATTAGCCATCTACCCTTGAAATATATTGAAACCTAATGAAGACCCTCCGGCACTGTGTAAAATTTATCTAGCATTTTAGAAAGAAAAGCCATTAAAATTTTCCATAAAGGATTTCCCCATTCTAAGATCAGCTTTATTGTTTAATTAGTTCTAATTCTGTAAAGGTTTTTTTCAAACCAATCGTTGCGTCAATCACTCTTCTGCAAAATGATCTGTCTGGCACGACAACATGACAAGGAAAGTTCAATGAACCCAAAAGGGATATTATTTCCCTAAGCTATCCCTTCTTGTTGTTTTAAACAAAGAAATTTTCTAAAGTAATTCACCAAGCTTATCGGGAGGTAAACGGAGAGTCATATCAGAAGTGTCAATTTCTACACCTAAGAATGTAAACCGTGTCATTGGAGAAACCGTTTTCTCATCTGCATAATGGAACTCCTAGATCATTGCAGATAACCTTGAAAGTATGAGGCAGGTCAGGACAATGACTGGTCCCGTCCATTACAAATACAAGAAATAGTCAAGGTAATGTATAAAAGCGCCCTCAGACTGTCTTACAGAAACAGCCTAATGAAGAGTAGTCAAACTCGTTGAATAGAGCACAGCTAACTGAAGCTCAAAAGAGGTCTTGATTAATTTTAAAACCAAGAAGATCAAAATCAATCTGCTAGATAGGGAGTCATCTGAAAGGTGATTGAACGTCGAACTTGCTAACCAATGTTTTATTTCCGTACAATTTAATAACTTCAACAGCGTCATCCTTACTCTCGGAACCAAACCCAAAATGGGGAGATTCGTAAAGTGGGATTGGTCGAAATTAATAAGGACCAGCAACACACCTTGCATCTATTTAAAACTTTTAAAGAAGTAATCTAGCCTCTCACTAGCGCTTTACCCGTTTTTGGAATCTGTAGGTAAACGAGCATCTGAGTTGAAACCATACAATAAAGAAGATGTATTTGTTAGAAGTGCATAATCACGTATTACTTAATATCTTTTTAAATATTTTCCACATTAACTGGGGAAAACCCAAGTGAAAAAGAAGTGGATCTTGGGGTGAATGATTTCTAGATTCACGTTAAATACTCATGCAAAATTATGAATTACAATACAATACAAAAGCAGTAGCACGTGATGATATTAATATGTTCTCTTCTCCATTCAATCAACCTGAAAAATTGATAACTTGAATTTCTATTTACGGCAAACTTCATGTTAAACAAGAAGGAGAAAGAAACAATATGTTAAGTTTTTTCCAGATATTTCATATATTGTTTGGTATGTACTCTTATGTCAACTTTCATTTATACTTTGCACATGAAAACCAACCGCTCATTATCAAATAAAAGGTGATCATATCCATATTTATATGATTGTCAAAATTAATTTATTTATTATCTCTCAATTATAAAAAAAAAATTATTGTAATACAGTATTATGCTCATCATGGGCCTTTTAATTGGAATAAGAATATCTATTTTATAATCAATTCATTCCTTTAGATAAATAATTCATTAAAATTTGGTAAGTAGTATCAATGTTCTTATATGCATTTGTGGGCAGTGGCATTGTCTAACGACTTATATATGAACAGATTTGTATATGCGTCAGGAAAATCAAAATCAGTCTGGAACAAGACTCAATTCTTTCTTTGTTTTCCGCATTGAAATCATGTAAAGCTTTGTACTTTGTTCTGTGTATATCACCTCGACATAGCTTTTTTTGCGCTGATGCGTCGTTAAGCAACCACCAGTTTTAAGAGTCAAGCGCGGGAGATATAAAATCTAGCGCTATAGATTCAAATTCAAACGATGAAGATGTAAAGTCTGGCACTGTAGATATAAAGTCCAGCGCTTGAAATGTAAAGTGAACTTTGAATATACACCGCTTGACTTTATATAAACAAAACAGATCTCGACTTTATATCTCCAGCGCAATACTTTTACATCTCTAGCGCTTTATTTTTAATATATCTACAGTGCTAGACTATATATTTGCAGCGCTTGAGTTTAAATTTTTAGCGCTGGACTTTTTATCTCCAACGCTTGACTTTACATCTACATCGCTGGACGATAAATATACAGCGATGGACTTTAGATCTACATCACTGGACTTAAGATCTACAGGACTGGACTTTACATCTTGAGCGCTTGACTTTAAATCTACAGCGGTAGACTTTACAACTCCAGCGGTTGACTTTAAAAACCACAACTCTTTATCTGTATGAGATAGAAAAACAATGGAAAAGCTTGATTGAAATCTTAATTTCATGGTTGTACCATGCGTATGTACTTATAAGAATGGAATGCTTCTTTTGTGATTTAAATGGGTTGAAAAGGTGTTGAACGTGCACACATTTTTAGTATGGAAAAACGGGCTCGCACGGATTTCACTTTAACAGAAAAATTTGATAGTTAAGATAATCTATTTGATATTATGAAAAGTGCAACTGGTCATGTGATTTTATTTTAAAATTGATTGTTAAATTTCAATTTTTATAAAAATGTCTTTACAGTCAGTTGAAAACAAACAATACTAACCATGTAAAATTCAATGCTAATTTAATGCCATCTTTCTTTTTCTTTCTTGGTATGTTTACAATTCCAATCATTTGATACACTACGACGTGTCCCTTTTGTTTATTTTGTTCTCATATACTGGTTAAATTTTTTTTGTTGGATAAACGTTTGTGTATGGCATTAGAGGTTACTTATTTTTAACTGTAGCATGTATGTACCATATTTTGCCGAAAAAAAAGATATTTGATAATTAATTGATTACTATAAAATATAAATTTCAAGATTGGCATCGGAAGTATTACATGTCAGGACTTTTCACTAAATTGAACTTCCAAGGTTTTCACAGCCTTTTCCAAGTAAAATAAAAATCGACGATATTTTCTGGATTCCAGGACCCATACAAACTCTGCACTGTATGATTAACAAGTATATTGCCCATATTATTTTATAAAAAAAAAAGTGCACAACCTCTCGTCTATTCTTTTACTTTAACTCTTGACGAAACTGCATGCATTCATATGTGTATTGCATTAACTATCCGGCAAGCTCTACAGATTAGGAAGTAAGGGGACGCCCATTTGATATTCTGGAGGAGGAAGGGGCAGGAGGATATTTTCCGGATTGAGCATTTATAAGCTAAGCAGTAATGGTATTTAATTTTGTTCATTCATGCGTCGTATACACGTGACACTGATTTATCACTTTTCTACTGGCCGCTGGCAATGCGCCAGTTTCATATTTCCGTCGCCTTTTTAACTGAAACCATGTTCAAAATCTTCTTTTTTTAAAAGATCTTTTCACTGAAAAACGTTTTAAATTATGATTTGTTCTGATTATTATTTACTTCTTTCGCAACTTTCTTTTCATGCGCATTTTTTTTTTGCTTCGCCACATGTCCATTAGATATTTGGCATATGATAAACAGTAATTGAGCTTTACAATCTTAAATCTTATCCCATTTGACCGAACACTGTGTAAGAGTTATCTCCACGACAACTGTTTTTTCTTGTTATTATTACTCCTTCGCAACCTTAAAAGAAAACTCATGAACAATCAGTGATAGAGAGCTAGGGTTTTTTGATTTGAGGTCCTTGGTCCACCAAAATGTCAAGGTCAAAGGTCCTGGTCATGTTCTAAATTTTAATTTTTGACTGTCATGGCTTTACCTGAGAAATAATGGAAACAGTGTAAAATAACCTTTCATATAAAACCGCAAGTGAACCGGAAGAAGCGAACTCTTCCGTATTTCAATCAAAAGTATATAAAAACCATATATTTTTTGAATCAACGTAAAGTGAGCTTTTATTTTTGACTGCGGAAGTGACTTCAACTAAAGCGAAAGTCCCATATTATCTCCCTTATTTCATTAAAAAAAGTTCCATAAAGTTTATATTTTGGAATCATTCTTAGATAAACGATCTTCTAACGCCACCCCATTTTTGGGGGTCAATTTTGTCATTTGCCTGCTTGGACTTTATTTACTTTACCATATCGCATTTTACATATTTACATTATTAGTACAGGTGCATAAAAATGTAGCCGGTTTAGACGTTTAAACAGCCGCCAATGTTTATTTATATGTATTATTACAGATCATCTTAATAATAACCATCAATCATAATTAAGAAAGCGTTATGTAAAATGTAGGCAAAAATTCCATAAACCATGACAAACTACATATATGTACAACAACAAAATTAATTAAAAAATATTATAACATAAAACAAATAAAAAAATCAATAGATGTTTCGGATAACAAATACCCTTCATCAGTATGTACTGCTCGATGTAAAATGGTGTCGTATTCTTTCTGTGGTCCTGAAGATTAAACATTGTTTAAAGTTCAACCAAATATATTTTTGTGTGTAAAGTTAGATTAAAACATTCCGTAATCTTGAAAGATATACAACCAAGATATCAAAACCAAAACGCATGGTTTAAAAGATAAACCAGCTCATATCAGTAGGTTTTCAAGTCTTTTTGTTCTACGGGAAGCCAGTAAGAGTAGCTCGTGGAATATCATTGATAGTTTAAAGCATTTTTGATTTTTTGTATATTGTAAAAGTTGATCTCGGCTGATGTTTTGTGCACGAGAAAAGCCTCTCTCAATGTGCCTTGTTCTATTACCCTGGTTAATTATGTGGACTCGGGGTTTATGTAATTAGTTTCGTTATAGTATTTGGTGAGAGACTTGGTGTATAGGGATGACTTTATACATACGTTTTTGATGAAATATATACCGGTTTTCACAAGTTGTTTTATTGATTTATTTTTTTTTTGCTATACGATTTGAATGATATGTTTTTTCAGACAATTTCTGTTTTTTAGGATTGGGTCTGGCAAGTGCCGCTATATGTAAATATAATGAATCGTCTACGGTAAATTCCGATAGAAGGAAGTACTGTTCTTACGGCTGCTGTTTTAAAAGTATAAATAATGTATGCTGTCCTAAAACGTCTGGTATTACATTGTAAGTTTTGTTATTGTAAAATTACAAAGTAATTGTTATCATTATTATTGTATTAAAAAACTCTTTATTTTTATTATTCAATATCTGAGGGTTTAGATGCCTTTTGGATTACAGGTCTTGGTTTTCAGTCCTCAGTTTTTTTTTTCATTTTTTCTCTTTATATTATATTCATGGCTTATTCTTAAAAGGTCACCAAAATATGTTTGGATGATTCCACCTTAAAGTTGAAGTCTTCTTTAGAGACTCAAGAAGCCTAAATCACTTAACAATTAGAAAAATGTCATTTGGATATTTACGTAAAATATCAATAAACAAAATTAACATCACCACGTGACTATCATATCTCACGCCTTGCATTAGGATTCATAAGTTAACATCACCACGTGACAATCATATCTCACGCCTTGCATTAGGATTCATATCACTAATACATACGTGTATGTAAAGCTGTACGACAAAGATCGAGAATATTTATCTCAAAGGAAAACAATGTTAGAGAAGTTAAAGACAAAAGAGGAGGACGGTACCAAAATTATAAAAACCCAAAAGTCGAAGACAGACCTACCAAATCATTGTAAAAAAACCGATTGAAGACGAAAAGACGTACAACAGCTTACAAAACACTCGTATATCAACTAAAGATTGAGCAATATGAATCACACCAAAAACCTTGGGGTGAAATTAGATTCTCCGCAAGTGTAAGCATAATTATCCTGTTCCACATTTGACATTTGAAATTACGTAATGAAACCACAGTAAATGTTACAGTTGAGTCTACGTCATTTCTTCACTTACATCTTCACCATTGGTCGGTTTAGAACAAAACTTTACGACAAAAGAGATGAAACAGCTATCGTGTCAAATTCTGTTTAATCCTTTTACATATAATAATTGTAAAATGAACACAAAACTACTAATTGTAGACTAACTGTTATTTGCTGTTCCTCGATTAAAAAAAAATATATATATTTTATGAAGCCGAATCGAGATATCAAAATCTTAAACTGTTTACATCGCTTGTATGCTTTATAGTGCATATTTTGTTTCTTTGTAGGTCTAAAGGAGTGTATTATGGCATGGGAGGAGGCGGTCTTGTATTTATTTTATTGGTTGCAGGTTGTTGTTGGTATTGTTGTAGGTCGAATGAATCCGGAGGAGAAGAAACCGAGGCAAACCCTCAGCCAGCAATGCCTTTCACGCCTTATACCATAGCACCTGGTAAGCAAAAATGCATTGATTTGATTAAGTCTTGGCACTGGTTATAGATCTTTGTTATTGTTAAAAAAAGGGACAACGATTTTATCCAAAACTTTAAGGAAAGCATATTTCAACAAATATACATATATTTAAAAAAAATATCCAAGGAAAGAAAAGTCAGTCGTTAAAGATTTATGAGATTGTATGTAGCATGTTATAGACTTCAAGAGCAAGAAAGTCCAGCTAAGTTAGTATCATATGTATGTATACTTTACATATCGTGTTAGGTTTTAATGCCATGCTTAGTTAGTATTATAGCTTTAGTTTCATGTTTTTTAATGTAAATAAAAAATTATAATCAGATGAATTATCAATATTGTTATCTAATAATCTTCTGTCAGTCTGAATTCAGACTAATTCAGTGAATTTGAGATTAAACCTACTTGAATATCAACATCGTGGCTACGTACAGTGATAGAACGAAATCAATATTACCAATTTCACAGTTTAGGTCAGAACAAATAGAACACTTATCAAAATAAAAAGCATCGTATTTTAATATGAATCATGTTATTAGAAACAATATTACATGACTTATTCTGACAAAGTTATTTTAGTGAAGGACACGTAGAGCGTCAATTCGAAATGAAGGAGTTTGAATTACTTCTTATGTGTCAGGGTTTTCTATTTAAATTGTGTAAGTTTTGAAAACAATAGTATTTGGAACTCAAGTACAGTAGGCTACTTTAATTTCTCATCCCAACGCAGGGGTTCAAAATGCTAAGATACACTTGATTAACAGAAGAAGGATAGTTTTTCGATCAATCGAATAACGTTCAAACCATAAGGATATCAAGTTTTCCGTAAAAAAAAGACACAGAAACTAGCACGGATACAACACAATAAACGTCGAAATAAAGAGACAGATACAAAAATATATCCTATTCTAGTCATTTGTAACTATGTCTTTGTAAAGTTATAAACCTAATTTTTATAACAGAAGGAGATGTGGTATGATTGCAAATGAGATCAGTATCTACCAGAAACCGAAGGACGATGATGTAAACAATTTTAGTCACTATAAAAATGAACAAACACCAATACGATATAGTAACCTATATATATATATCGAGTGGTCTAGCGCGTCGGGCATAAGTGCTAGGCGATTTGGTGCCACGATATCTCAGTAGCATGAGTTCGAATCCCGGCCAGGAAGAACAAAAAATTTGCATCCGCAACTTTACAGATCTAACATTGTTGGGCTGTTGTTTAGACGAATTATATATATATATATATATATATATATATATATATATATAGTGGGTTTCTTTCTGTAAGGTAATTGGTGTTGATGGCAAATTAATGAAGGTCTCTGTTAAATACACGAACAACTTATGATGAATAGCTGCTTTAGATGATTTTCTTCTATTAAAAACTGTACGTTGACTCCCAAATATCTTTTGGTGGTTGTTTTGTGTCATATGATGGCTGTCGATTTCGATGTTTAACCTTTGCTATATTTATTTATATACCTGCATTATTATGCTATGAAGCTTTCAAAGAATCCTCGCCATATTTTTTACTTGAAAGGGGGAGGGGGATACAAACGACTACAGAAAATTACAATCCTGAACAACCACCTTTTCTGATTCGAAAAAAAAAAAAATTATTGGAATTAAAAGCATTTACACGAATTGTGTTACGTTTTATTTAAGGCGCACATCCATATGGAATGACAAATAACAGTGTTCCTGGAGGATATAATGCACCAATGCACAATGCACATCCTGGAGGATATAATGCACCAATGCACAATGCACATCCTGGAGGATATAATGCACCAATGTACAATGCACATCCTAGAGGATACAATGCATCAATGCACACGGCGCCAGTTATCAAAAGTAAGAAGAGCTCATCACAATCATCTTTAAAGGGAGGATTTAACATTATGAAAAAAGTGGCTAAAACTTCGATCAAAATAGGCAAACACTTTAATGTAATGGATGATGAAACAGAATGTAACCATACGTTTGATACTACAGAATATAACCATACGTTTGATACTACAGAATAACAAATTAAAGTATGTGTGTTTGTCTAGACACATTTTAGCGTACATGTTGACTCCTAATTTTAAAAAGCTAACATCTTTATTGTGTTGGAACTTTGTTTAGTTGTATAAGTAGTGCAAAATATTATAGTTTACTTTACACTATCAGAATTACAAATTGTTAACATACTAATTCTTTTTTGTGACGTTTGACTTACAGGGTAGATATTCCTTTAAAAAAGGAACGAAAGATACCAGAAGGACAGTCAAACTCATCGATCAAAAACAAACTGACAACGCCATGGCCAAAAATAAAAAGACAAACAGACAAATAATAGTACAGATGACATAACATAGAAAACTAAAGACTAAGCAACACGAACCCCACCAAAAACTGGGGGTGATCTCAGGTGCTCCGGAAGGGTAAGCAGATCCTGCTCCACATGTGGCACCCGTCGTGTTGCTTATGTTATTACAAATCCGGTAAATAGTCTAATGTTTAACCCCACCGCATTTTTGCGCCTGTCCCAAGTCAGGAGCCTCTGGCCTTTGTTAGTCTTGTATCATTTTTAATTTTAGTTTCTTGTGTATAATTTGGAGTTTAGTATGACGTCCATTATCACTGAACTAGTATACATATTTGTTTAGGGGTCAGCTGAAGGACGACTCCGGGTGCGGGAGTTTCTCGCTGCATTGAAGACCCATTGGTGGCCTTCGGCTGTTGTCTGCTCTATGGTCTGGTTGTTGTCTCTTTGACACATTCCCCATTTCCATTCTCAATTTTAATTCGGTAGGTCACATTCGTGAAAAGGGAAGGGTATTGTAGTTACGACATAAGGAACATATTCCGATTTAAATTTCCAAAGGGATCTATAGCCTTAGTTTGTTGCATTTTATTTAAGGAGAACATCTATATTGAATGACAATGTATTGAAGTTATGAATCAATCTTTTAAAAGATACGTTTTTTTTACAGTAATGAAATAGATAAATAACAAATCAATGAATCATGTTTTATGAAGTGTAAGTACAGGTATATAATAATATATCAATTTACACGGATAAATTTTAACAACTTAATGTACATGTTTATATACTATTATATCCAGGTTTAACATCGAAAGAATTCCGTATATGTTTTCCATTTACACTATAGAAATTTTGTATTTTGTATATTTTTTTATGTTATTATAGTACATTGCACACCATTAAAGCATGAATACAATTGTTTTTAATATGTATTTGATCTAAGGAATATTATTACAAAAAGTTCTTAAATATTTTATAAGAAGGTATCTGCAATTGAAATTCGGCAATATTGAACTAGTTGTAATCTTTCAAGTCATAAATATAGAGCATTAACATATATAAAAACTGTTTTCACTGGTTTGCTCCGTCTGGAAGGCTTCACAGAGGTTTTGAAAAAAAAAATACAAATAAGATACCAAAGGCGCATTCAAAAATATCATATTAAGTCCAATAAAAATTGACAACATTATGGTTAAAAAAAAACGACGAAAGTACAAACAACAACAAACATATTACATAGAAAACTAAAGACTGACCAGCACGAACCCCACCAAAAACCGGGGGCAACTCAGGTACTCCGGAATGGTAAGCAGTTTCTCATCCACATGTGACACCAATCGTATTTGTCAAGTAAGTAAAAATAGGATAATAAGTAATATTGTTGGTAATGTCACAATCTCGAAAAAAGGAGAGATTAGGTTACTACCAGTGGAAAAAGAGAGGCGAAAGATACCAAAGTGACATTCAAACTCACAAGTCGACAAGGCCGTTTAAAAAAAAGACAATCAGACACACAACAGTACACAAAACATAACATAGAAACCCAAAGACAGAGCAACACAAACCCAATCAAAAACTAGGGGGGATCTCAGGTGCTGCGGAAGGGTAAGCAAATCCTGCTCCACATGTGGCACCCGTCGTCGTGTTGCTCGTGTAAGTACAAACCTTGTGATAAGTCTAATTCTGTTGGTCACATTCGAGGAAAAGGGACGGGATTGTAGTAACGACAATTGGAACAAATCCGTTGTCATCTCTGACTCGGATATTCTATAATAATCAACCAACACATGATGGTGTCTGTTAAACTTTCGAAGGGATGACTTTAACTTTACCATTTGTAAAAGTTTGATGGGAATAAACTCGTCATAGATACCAAGATTAAAATTTTGTACCTCATACGCGCGTTTCGTCTACAAAAGACGCTAAAAATATAAAATGTTAAAACGCCAAATAAAGTACGAACTTGAAGAGCATTGAGGACCCTTAAATTCCAAAAGGTTTTGCAGAATACAACTAAAGTAATCTATTCCCGGGGTCGAAAATCCTTAGTATTTCGAAAAATTCTTTTGTTAATTTATATATATATATGACCATATCAATGATAACTCATATCAAAACAGAAGTGCTGACTACTGGACAGGCTATACCCTCGGGAAGAATGCCTCCAACAGCAGTGACACCGACCCAGTGGTGGTAAATAAACTCATCATCGATACCAAGATTAACAGTTTGTAAGCTAGACGCGCGTGTCGTCTACAACAGACGCTCGAATAAAAAATGTTACAACGCCCAATTAAGTACGAATTTGATGAGCATTGAGGACCCTAAAATTCCAAAAGGTTTTGCAGAATACAACTAAGGTAATCTATTCCTGGGGTAGAAAATCCTTAGTATTTCAAAAAATTCTTTTTGTAATTTATAATTATGATCATATCGATGATAATTCATACCACAACAGAAGTGCTGACTAGTGACTACTAGACTGGTGATACCCTTGGAAAGGATACCTCCAACAGCAGTGACATCGACCCAGTGGTTGCAAATAAACTCATCATAGATACCAGGATTACAGTTGTGTACGTTTTCTCGTAAGCAGTAACCTTCTGGCCAGAAAACCACAAAGGCAAAAATCAACCTTACATTAAACCATTGCAGAATAACGGCAACATTCGCTGTTGACGCAAACCTCTTTGGAAGTACTTCAGGAACAGTATTTTCTTACACTACAAAATCACATTATATAGAATTGTAATGCAACGTGTGGGGCTATGTTTTAAAAGGATTTCCCCACAGATATAAAAAAGTATTCTCTTTGACACATTCCCCATTTCCATTCTCAATTTTATTGTTTACTATTACTATATCACTTCAAATAATAAGACATCCTGCCCGTGACAATATCTCTTAAGATTAGCTGCAATAAAGTTACATTGTCTGATTTGCTACAATTTGTCGGTACCGCTGCTAGTATGCGATCAGTATCAGATTGTACCGTTTAGCCAGATACATATGCTTCGATACTGATATTAAATAAAGGATGTATAATGTTAGTGTTAATATTCAGTTTTCATATTCAATGATGGTGTGAAAACTAATTTTACCGATTGTGTCCTATTCCCAATTCTGTCATTTTAGACTTGCTGTTCGGTGTGAACCAAGGCTCCGTGTTGAAGGCTGTACTTTGACCTATAATGGTTTAATTTTACAAATTGTGACTTGGATGGAGAGTTGTCTCATTGGCACTCATACCACATCTTATATCTATTAGTTTGAATTCTCATGGCGGTTGATGCATGTATAGCAGGAGATGATTTCCTTGTCAAACCACACGTTCTCGCTCCTTTTATAATTCATGCGATTGCCTCAGGTTTTTTTATTACATTAATTTGGCTCTTCCGAATCGATTTACGAGATTTAAACATCGATAAACCACAATCACCTTAATTTAGCATGTATGTCGATTTAAAAGAATTGTATCAAACCTTAAACTATCTTTTAGCTTGCATTTTCTTTTTATTTGAATAACTCTTGACCTTCATACAAACTTAAGGGACGATTGACAACAAACTACAATGTAGTATTGTTTGTTGTGTTACATGTTTGTGATGAAGAGAATGATATAAATTAAGTAAAACCAAAGATGGGAGTAAAAAGCTTTCCTATCAAAATACAGTATAATAATACACTGAATGGGTAGGTTTGCAAGAATCCAGAACAAGTTAAACCATAAGGTAAAAGTCTATATACACTGCCCCTCTGATAAAAACCAATCAAAATAATCCCAATGGAGGTAATGGCAGATTTATTGACACTGTCTTGACCCTGAATATGTAAAAAGCCCCACTGTTAAGACAGTAAATTTAGTTCAATTAACTTTAGGTAGGGATGTGTAGCTGTATTTATTTACGTTTCGTGTGTATTTATAACATTCTCATATAATGTATTTATAGATCTTGCATACAATTATAAATTAAACATATTTTCTTTTATAAACACTGCGAATTACCTCTTTGATTTGACATCATGTTAATGTTTGGAACATTTTTAACCAATATCTCCCAGAAGATATTATCGCTTAGCTGAAAGCCTCGTAGTGGTCATAGTTAGTTTTTTAAAAGTCTGTCATAGTGTAATATCAGATCTTAAAAGTTAACTGAATGGAGGGTGTGGCTTACAGTCATAGTCACTGCGATTATAATCTACAAAAACACCACTTATAAAAAGCATTTAAGATGATTGATAATTCCTCCAGAATTACTATCTGCTCTTGACGAGAAACAATATGATGATATCTGTTCTCGTAGAATTGCTAGGTCGCTGTCCATTGAATTCTCATGATAAATGTCCATCTCCCACATCTGAAAATAGCTGCAAAAGTACAGTATTCAAATACTCGTAAATATCATTTTTTTCAATAATCAAATTATCTTGAAATCTATGTAGTAATCAAGGTTATAAAACACCTGGTTAAATACATAGCCAAAGGAATACGTATCGTTCCTAGTTGGGTTTCTTCCACCTTTTTTGGCCCTTGATTTTTCAGAGAAAATTGAAATATCAAAAAATTGTTAGAGATGTAATAGATTTTAGTGATCATCAAAGAACATACACAAAGAGGGATTACTCTTATTCTATTTTTGTTACAGAAAGATTTGTTTTTAGCTATACGACTGGATGCCAGTATTATATTATGACAGAATTAAGGTAATTGAAGCTTATTTTTGGAGATAAGCGGGAGTTTGAAGCATGGCACTTATATCAAACAGATATTTTATTGGCACGTCTTACTGACATGCTTGATATTTACAGAAAATCCATGTTAAAATTCTATAATACTGATAGGAAACGTTGTTCTATTATCTTGAGATATTTTAGACAAGGTTTGCGATTGTAATAATATCAATGGATGTTGTTAAGGAATGGCAAAATTTAACATTCAGTGTGTATATACATAATTTTTCATCTTTTCCTGTTATATTTATGCTTATGAAAATTTCAAGATAATATGATTATTGAAAAAATGATATTTACGAGTATTTGAATACTGTACTTTTGCAGCTATTGTCAGATGTGGGAGATGGACACTTATCCTGAGAATTCAATGGACAGCGACGTAGCAATTCTACCAGAATAGTCATCATCATATTGTTGATCGTCAAGAGCAGATAGTTATTCTGGAGGAATTATCAATCATCTTTCAATGCTTTTTATAAGTGGTGTTTTTGTAGATTGTGATCGCAGTGACTATGACTGTAAGCCACACCCTCCACTCAGTTAACATTTAAGATCTGATATTACACTATGACATATTTTAACCAACTAACTATGACCACTACGAGGCTTTCAGCTAAGCGATACTATCTTTTTCGCGTTATTGGTTAAAAATGTTCTAAACATTGACATCATGTCAAATCAAAGAGATAATTCGCAGTGTTTGATAATGTGTATAACGTTTTTGTTGTCTGTATGCCATTTCAAGCGTTTCCTGTAAAGGTATTTCAAAGGCTGACAGTGCCAGTTAAATTACTTTAACCCACACCATGTGCTACTTTGAAGTTTTTAATATTCATTCCATATTTTATTAAAAATCTTTTGTTCAACCTCAATCGCACAGGCAGCTAAACCACACTCATATGAAAATATCGTTACGGAAGAAACACTTTAAGTCAATTTAATTTCTCAACATTTTGCTTTCAGAATTTTAATTCTATAATTGTGCTAGCTGTCTGCAGTGATATCAGGAATAAGTTCCAACATCGTTTTGAAACAAATCCAATATTCTCTTATCAGGAATCAAACATGTTGGTAAAACGAAAGGAAAAGAATCCAGCCCGAACAGAAGTACTGAAAAAACAGTAATACTTGTTCCTCCAAGAAAAAAATAAAACGGTTTGCTGCTGCGAAAACACCAACATGATAAT